TGTTCTTTCCACGTCAGATCTAGTTTTATCTAACATCCTGTATGTATTTACATGGATACATCGTAAAACATATTACAGGTAGGAGACATGATCTCGGTGATAGACATGCCACCACCAGGAGAAAGTACGTGGTGGCGTGGTAAACACGGATTCGCAGTCGGCTTCTTCCCAGCCGAATGTGTCGCGGTAATCGGAGACAAAGTTCCACGTCATTTAACAGTCTCGGCTACGGTCAGATCGAAATTACCGGTAAAACCGGTGCTTAGAAAGCACGGAAAATTAATCGCCTTCTTCAGATCGTTTATCTTGAACAGACCATCTAGGAGAAGGTTAAAACAATCTGGGATTTTAAAGGAACGTGTATTTGGTTGCGATCTGGGTGAACATCTTTTGAACTCCGGTCAAGATGGTAACTCATTATTATTATTATTATTATTATTATTATTATTATTATTATTATTATTATTATTATTATTTTATAACAAATAATTTGTTAAAACAATTCAACTTTTGGTTTTATGATTTCATTTGAACAAATAGTTCCAACGGTTCTAACGTGTTGCGCCGAATTCATTGAAAACCATGGCCTCGTCGATGGTATTTACCGACTAAGTGGTGTCACCTCCAATATTCAAAGATTAAGAAATGCGTTTGACGAGGATCGCGTTCCAGCATTGCATTCCGATGAAAGTATACTCCAGGATATCCACTCCGTTGCATCCCTGTTGAAAATGTATTTCAGAGAATTACCTAATCCCTTGTGCACCTATCAACTTTATTCAACATTTGTCAGCGCCGTGCAAGCCAATAGCGATGCGGAAAGATTGAGACGAATGAGAGATGCAGTTAGAAAATTACCCCCACCTCATTACAGGTAAATTTATTTATTGGTTATTGAATGAAGCTATTGATGAACATGATTGAACAATCAATTTTGAATATTTTTTACAGAACGTTAGAATATTTGATGCGTCATTTGGTAAGAGTGGCAGCTCGTGGCTCGGAAACTGGGATGACACCGCGAAACGTTGCAATTGTTTGGGCACCGAATCTCTTGCGATGCAAAGAATTAGAAGTTGGTGGTGTGGCAGCTCTTCAAGGTGTCGGAGTACAAGCAGTAGTGACAGAATTCTTAGTATGTTACGCTGAATTAATATTCGGTGATGGACCGGTCGGTAGACCCAAATCTTTAGCCATCACGACACCTGCACGTTTACTCAGTTTGGAGGAAGCAAGAAATAGGAGTGTAAGAGGTGAACCAGATTATATTGAAGTTGGTGCGGGTCCAGCAGGTTTGCCATTGCATTATCATACGGTGATAGAACTGCCACGAAAGAGAAATGGCTCGAAGCGTTCACCGTCATTAAACTGGAGAGCTTTGTTCGGTAGAGGTGGCTTGGGTGGTACCAGAGGCAAAGCCAGACAAGTTGGCACGCCACCCCAAGTAGAAACGGTGCCAAGTTCCTTAAACTCTTTGCGACGATTGAGACCTGTCAAAAGTGCGGATAGTTTGGATGGCGAGGACAGTTTGGGCCCTTTATTAGGGCCACCACCAGCTAGACCCTGCGGTCATAGTAGATCAGTATCTCACGATTCTTATTTCGATCATCTGGCTGATGCACCTAATGCTACATCACCACTCGATCTTTCGGAGATCCAACTTAATTTTGATCTCGAAGAAAGAGAAATGAGAATGTTTTCAGAAGAGGAGAGTGCTGGCGTTGCTTCGGTCGAAGCATCACCTCGAAGACAGAGGACGGAAGGTACTCAGTGTCCTCCAGTTACCGGAGGTTCCAAAAGAAAACGATCGAGACTCGAAGAACGATTGCACTGCGACGTTGAATTACGTTTTATCGATAGTCAAAGTCCCGATCAGGTGTGTGACATTTTCATTTTAAAATAATGAAACATAACCTGTCGATATAATTTTAACCTATTAATAATGATTATTTCAGGTTATGGTTTCCGCAGATGTACACAACATGGAAACCCCATCACCATTACCAACTCCTGGTTATTTGCCATTATTGTCCGAAGCATCGACACCTTTAACGCCTGCAACATTGCAAGGAACTTCACACTCTACTTCACCTATACCCGTTAATAGTCCTAGGATAAGCTTTCGAAGTTTTACTTTACCGTTAGAGATCGACGACGAACAAACAACTAATACGAATAATAATTTGAACAGAGCTAGCGTGTCTTCCGATAAAACATCCGACCCTAGTCATAGGTTATCAGTAAGTTTAAACGAACAGAATAACGCTAAGTCTTGCGAAATAATACGTAGCTACGATAGACACGAGGATCATTATAGTAATAACACTGTAATAGATCAATCCAAAGCTCGAAATAATGAAGAGTCAACGGATGCTGGAATATCGGATATTCCGGATCAAGAAATGACCCCTTGCGAGAGGTTAATATCATTGTGCAGCGAAGTTGAGTCAAGTAGATTAACTTCATCCTCCAAAGACATTACGGATGAGTCCGAGTTATGTCCAATGGAGAAAAATAAATTAATAGATAAACAAGATACATCGAATGTTAAAAAGAAAGAAACCCCAAATAATAATAATAATAATAATAATAATAATCATCATCATCGATCAAGTGATATACAGAATCAAGAAATGAATTCCGATTTACACGTACAACACGAATTACCTGGTTTACCTTTATCAAACACAACTGATCTTGATTCACCGATGTCTTGTGAACAAACTTTGGAAGATTTGCCAGATTCCGGTTTCGTAATATGCGATAGTTCCGATAAAATCTTTACCAATACGGAAACACAACCGATGGTTACTACAACCAATGATTCTGGCGAATGGGTTATCGTCGAGAGGACAACTGGTTCAATTACAACACCTAGCAGTGAATCCAGTAGTCCTAAAGATCCTTTGGAAGGTACCATGAATCCTGCAATAGCTACAGAAGCACCCCAATTGAGATCAATGTCTGAAAATATTTCACGAACATCTTTGGACTTGACGATGGGTTCTACGGTTGATACGGACACTTCTTGTATTGGGGCTAGCGATTTAACCGAGAGTCCTGTTCTCGCACAAGTATCTGGTGACATGACGTGTGATGTCACCGATGTCAAAGATTACAAGGATTTCGATGAACACGACGACACCCAAAGACCATCCACCACAACCTACACCAACGAATTTACGAACGATTTACTGTCCCCTTTACAAGATCAAGACAACGGTAATGACAAAGTATGCGAGCTGAATATAACTGACATCGAATCTAACGAGGAGCCATCCAATATGAAAATGGACAATTCTTTTGTTCGCATTGACAACAATACCCACGTACACGGTAATAATAAAAATCAAGAATGCGAAACTGATAAAACACAAAATATGATGAAACAAAAGCAAAACGATATACAACGATCAATGGAAAGTCAACAAAAATTACAATATTCGCAACACAGTGATCACCAAAGATGTTCACAACAATTGGACAAGAATAAAAAAGTCCATGGAATTGAAACGGAAGAGGAGGAGGAAGAGGAAGACGATGATGATGATGACGAGGAAGACGATGACGATGACGATGACAAAGAGATGTCCAAGTGCCAAAATTTTGATCAAATCTCTCAGAAACAACAGAATCAAAGTCCCCAGAATAAATATATTACAAAACACGATAACAAAGAGAGTCCTAAGAGAAACAGCATACGTCATTCGCAATTACGTGAGAATATTGAAGTTGTCATACCGTCAGAAAATGCAGCTGAACCATGCGAGATTGCACATGTACCGGAAGGTGCATCGGAAGCAATGCCATTGGATGATTCATCGTCATTTTCAAACGCTTCCTCACCGGTTGACGATTCGATAGTTTTACGAGACACAGCTGCTATTTTACAAGAATTAGCATTGCAAAGATTGTCCGGTGGTATGGTAGGTGACCTATCCATTCCACCTAGAAGAAGATACGAGACCACCGAGGTTATTAATCGCGAACGAAGAAGTTTTGATTCCGAGATAGGTCGTGAAATAGTCAGGGAAAGGAAAATGCGTCAAGAATTGGATTCGGCTAGAGGTAAATCAGAGGAACCACCTGTAAATAACAGTAGCACTACCACCCATCATTTGCCACCATGTTTAAGGGCTCGTCATGCAAGAGCAACACGTGCAGCATTGAGCAGATCCCTCGACGAGGCGAAATTCAATCAAATGACCAGCGGTGATTCTTCCTTACCTGTCAAACAATCATCGAATGACGTTGTTCAACACAGTTCTACCCCTAACGTTGGCACCGTTACCAGCAGTAACAATCCCTCGCCTAATTGTTCTGATAAAATTCAATTGAAGAATCTCGGTGGTCTCGACTTGGGTGACCCACAGTGTCGAGAAAGAATAGAAAAGTACAAAGAGGAAAGGCGGACGTTTCTAAGGGACAAATATAGATCTGAGAGTTTTCGTGGTATGTCCTCGAAATCTGAAGGAGGTGATGGTGAACAGGCCTTGCTGGCAAGATTAAAGCAGAGAACTTCAAGGCCCTCATTTCATTGACATTGAGCTTGATACCAATTTCTCTGAGCATTCTTTTTCTTTTTCTCTCTGTCATAAATAAATTTCTCTCTATCCTTCTCTTTCTCTTTGTTTGTCTGTCTGTCTGTCTGTCTGTCTGCCTGCCTGTCTGTCTGTCTGTCTGTCTGTCNAAAGCAGAGAACTTCAAGGCCCTCATTTCATTGACATTGAGCTTGATACCAATTTCTCTGAGCATTCTTTTTCTTTTTCTCTCTGTCTGTCTGTCTGTCTGCCTGCCTGTCTGTCTGTCTGTCTGTCTGTCTGTCTGTCTGTCTCTCTCTGATTCAATTTATGAATCTGCTAAATATATTCAAGCTGCCGATGCTCCCCAATTGCTATGGAAAATTCGATAAAATTCTATTTTTTGTTTTTTTTTTTTGGAGAATAAGACTCGCGTCTCGTTTTTTTTTTTTAACGAGGTTATGTAATTCGTTTGTGTCTTTTCAACTACGCTGATCAAAATGAAAATTGCACTGTGTCTACATTGAACGTGCAATATTTATTATTAATAATATTTTTTGTTTGTTTACCCTTCTCTCTGCAACCCTTCAATTTTCTATATTAAAATATTTCCCATAATTTATTATCGCGAGTATAATAATTTTTTGTTTATCTGTTTTTTCTTCTTCTTTTTTTTTTTTTTACTTCATTGTTATAAGAACTTTTTACAATGTTAAGAATAATTTTTAATGATAATATTTTCCCAAAGAGATAAGGTTAGATTGTCTAATCGTAATTTATTGTGTTTTATTGTTATATAATTATTATTATTATTATTATTATTATTATTATTATTATTAATATTAATATTAATTATATCGGCTTCTATTGTACGTTTTTACTTGGAATGTATATGTACCAGAGTTATGTGCGTGTATGTGTGTATGCGTGTGTGTGTGTGTTACTCTATGTGCGGAATTGCATTTAATTAATTAATAAATAAATAAATTAATTAATTAATTAATAATTAAGAAAGTATTCGAGTGAGAGCTTACTCGTGTGGGTTTAGAATTTTTATTATGTAACGAGAATATTTTTCAAACGCTTCTTCTTCTCTGCCGCCATTAGGATTATAAATAAGAAAAGAAAAGAAAAAAGAGAAAAGAAAAAAAAATGAATTGAAACAAAAAAACAAACAAACAAATGYGTCGTTATGCGTTGTATTTTTGTTTTTGTTTTTTTTCGTTTTTTTTTTCGTTGTTACACAATTACTGATTTTTATACTAAAAAATGAAATATCTTCTTTTATATTGAAAATTTTTATATTTAAAAAGCTTGTTGAAATGAGGTTAGGTTTTCTTTTTATATATATATATATCTATATATGAATATATTAGCAAGACTTTTTTTTTTACCAAGCGCCTTATTCAATGCTTATGCAAATGTTGATTCATAAATATTTTCTTTTTATTTAAATAACGCGAGTTTTGCTGTTAAAAAAATAAATATTATTTAATCCTCTGGTACACATTTATATAATTTAAATGAATTTGATGAATGATAATGGGTTTTCTTTTTTAAATATATATATATATATATATATATGTATTATATAATATGAAAAAAAAGAAAGAAAATGAAAATGATGCAAAAAAATTTCGAATTAAGTTTAAAAAATTAAAATTAAGTTTAAAAAAAAAAGTGTAACAAATATGTTTATGTTCTTTTTTGTGGACTGGTCCACACAAACACAGATAGATTTATAATAATAATAGTAAAATAGCTTTTGTATATGAATTATGCTTATTATCATTTTTATTTAGTGCATATATTATTAATGATATATGTATATGTATATGTACACATACACACGTGTTATGTTTAATATATATTGGGATCTCTCTGGCAAGAAGGGGCATGGTGTAGCAATTCAACCTATGTACTCTAATTTTGTATTTAGCCACCAGATAGCGTATTCAAGTGCTACAGATTAGGGACCCTTTAAGAGGGGACGCGCCATACACATTGCTGAGGGACAGGAACTCGTGTAGTCACGTGATTGCGCGCAAATGATTCAACGAAACAGATTTGATGCAACGGAAACTGTCCCCCCCAAATTTTCAGCCTAGCAATGTGTATGGCGCGTCCCTCCTATAGGGTCCCTACTAGAGATCCCATCACGTGACGGTAGCAATTCGACCTATCTACTCTAATTTTGTATTTAGCCACCAGATAGCGTATTCAAGTGCTAGAGATCCCAATATATTGGTTCTAAAGCAAGATTACGTGATACAATTTTGAAAATTATTTGGTGTTTTTTTGTTTTTTGTTTTTGTCGAACCAATTGTTGTCTCGAAATCATTAAAAAAAAAAAAAAAAATGATATTATTTTAATTTTAAAAATAAATAATAAATAAAATGAAGATTAACATTAAATTCTATACAGGATGAAATAGATGAGAATTATTATTAATTATATGAATTATTTCTATTGGTTGTATGAAGAGAGAAAGAGAGAGAGAGAGAGAGAAGAAAAAAGACAAAGAGAAAGAGAAAAAAGAGGAAAATGTTTTTTTTTAAACATTGTGATGTAATTATGTTAAATTTGGAATTTTGATTTATTGTTTCAAATACCTAAGTGGCCTTGAATTATTTATTTGATCAATGTATACATCGTATTTTATAATATTGTTAGTGTTTCTTTTTTTTTTTTATAAAATTAAATTTAATTAAATAGAAATAAAATAACCTAAAAAAATTCTCATCGATTCATCCCAGTTATAAAAGAAAATCGATAAAATCGTAAATAATAATTTGAAAATAAACAATTAGTAGAATGATTGACATTCGTCATCTGTTGAATGATCTTGAATAAAAAGTGAGGTTAAATAATTTATAAAAATTAATTCACACAATTGTAATTGATAAATAATAATAATAATAATAATAATATTCCTCCGCATTTATTAAAAATCTATCTTTTACGCGCGAACAAAAAAAGAAAATTGTTAAAGTAGAAGTAAAAAAAGCAAAACACACACACACAAGAAAAAAAAAAAAGAAAAATGCTCAAGTGATTTTCTCGTGCTAATTAAATCTAAGTAAATTAATTAACTTTTTAATTTATAACAAAAAAAATATATATATATATATATTAATGCTCTCTATTCTACGAACTAAACTAAACTAAATAAAAAAAAAAATAAATAAAAAATTTTAAATAAATCGTCGTAACGTTTCCAAAATGTCGTCTTGAAAAAATGGCGGAGGTTAGGAAAGAGGGGTGGGGAGATTCAAACGAAAAGATGCATGCAATTATAAATTATTATAAACAAAAATTACTCTATATATTTTCTCGTAAAAATGAAAAATAATAAAAAAAAAAGAACACATACACACATTTAACACGTACATTCGACACAAACAAATATACGCATACACAAACTTATTATATATTCACGTAGTACTCAAAACATTTTTTCTATCCCTGACCAAGAAACAAAAAAAAGTACATTAAATTAAATTTTAATTAGATAAACCAAAAAAAAAATATATACACACACACACATATATATATATATATATATATATATATCTTATTTAACGAACAACGGCAACATTTGCAACAAGTTCAAATTGATAATTATTAAACGCGACATTTTTTTTTTTTTTTTTTCGAAATATTTATTAAACAAAAAAAATTGCATTCAAAATTTTACTCGAATATAAAAAAAAATGATATTAATAATTAATATAATATAAATTATATATAATATAAAATATATTGTAACGCGTTATAAAAATCTTTCAAAAGTGATCTCTCTCTCTCTCTCTCTCTCTCTCAAATGGTTCTTACCCCATAAATTGTAAATTATTATTATTTTTTTTTTTTTTTTTATAAATTTAACAACTAAAATATTAGTTTGACAAATTTCTAAATCAATTCACTAGCTCAAATCTTTGTATTTTATTTCTTTTGCAATTAGTAAAAAAACAAATGCAAGTGAAAACAAACAAAAAGAAAAAAAAAATTAAACAAATATGCATGCACGAGTAGTTGAATGTATTTAAACGAACGAAAATAATAAATAAATAAAGAAGCTATTAATAATAACAATAATAATAATATTAATAATAATAATAATAATAATAATAATTAATGATTAGCACGATTAGGGGAAAAAGAAAGGATAAATAAATAATTCTCGAAACATTTAAACGATCCCTCTCAAACAAACCTAACCTAACCTAACTTACGTATATTATTTATGCCATATTATATAAAAAAAAAAAAAAGGCCTAGGTAGTTTTAACGAGTTTCAAACCTTTCTTCAATTCCTTCTAATGTAAAACACCATTTTTTGAAAACATTATTAAACACTTGATATAATAATTAATATATAATTATTATAAAAATATAAACAAACACAAAGGTAAACTAATAAACAATAATATTTATGCACAATATATAATACGCAATAGTGACGATAATAAATAATAATAAATAATAATGATGATGATGATGATAATGATGATGATGATGATGATGATGATGCATCTAAAATAAAAAAAAAAAAGGGATGTTTATTTTTAATAATTTTCAATTGTCACAGTGTCGAGATTGTATTGTAAACGTACACGTATGATTAAAAAAAAAACATAATTCAGTATTAAAAATCAGAATGATTAAAGAAAAAAAAAAAAAAAATGAAATAAACAAAATGAGCCTAACGAATAATAATAAATGCGGATTGTATTAATTGTGTTGAATGTAATGAAAATGATGAATAAGAGACAATTGATGATGTAATTTAAATGATAGACAATTTGTGAAAGAAAGTTTGTAAGAATTGAGGAATGTATGTGAAAAGAGGATGAAGAAAAGATGGAACAACAAGGGGTGGTTGAAAGTTTATCGATGGGGGATGAAATGAAATCCGCAAGACGACCACATAAGAAGACTAATAATCCTACATGTAACATTGAAGGGCTGATAGTAATCTTGCTTTTGATCGTTTACACAAAAAAAAAAACAAAAGCCCACCGTATTTTTTAGCCTAAACATTTTTCGACCTAAAACTAATTT